GACAGCGCAGTTGCTGTTCCGTCCTCCACTCTGCATTTAATTCCTGGCATGCCTCCCTCGGGATGGCCTTACCCACGGGATGTTCACAGGAAGGAGAGCTGCAGCCACAGGCCCCTCCTGCCCCCTGGGCCTCCTCTGCAGGCGTCAGACTGGAGGGAGCAGCAGGTTCTTTACGCCACGGCCACAATAATGCAGCTTTCTTTCTACTGATGAAGGCTCATTCCATTACCATTTCTGGTTTCTTTCGAGGGATAGTTCTGGTGTCGCTTTACCATTGTCATTGCTTTGCCTCCCAAGTTTACTTTTAGCTTTCACAAGACAGTGAAAGCCCTTGGCTGTTGTCTGTGCTCCCTGCAGAGAAGCCAAAAATATGAGGAGCTTAAAAATAACTTTGCCTTTTGCAGGGAGCTCCTTATTTGATATTAAGTGCCCTCTTCTGCAACACAAGTGTTCGTAATGTTAAATTACCTGTTAACAAGCATTTTTAAATAGTATAATTTATGCTAATTCAGACACATTCTCGTTTCCGAACGGATTATTTTTACCTTTCAAGTGGCTGCATTTTTCATGAGTGGCGGTGGAGTCAGGGCTCTGCCATCAAGCATCTTTCTGAGTGGCTCCTGTGCTCCTGGTCGTTTCCATGGGTGGCTCCCACGGAGGCATTTGCATAGCTCGTGCACCACAAGCCACGGACACGATCTGCTGTGACTGGGGGAGGAGGCAGACACGGGCAGCGTTGACCAGTGCTGAGCAGCCAGGACAGCAGCGGTGGGAGAAGTCCGTCTGCTCCGACCCAAGCGGCTATGTGGGGATGGAGGGGCTCCGGCTGGCTACTTGGCCCTTCCTGGGGCACTTTTCTCTCTCTGCTCACCCCTAACAAGAATACATGGACTCTGATGATCAAGTCACAAACCCAACGCCCAGGGCTACTTCCTGGGGTGGCCGGATGCTTTGCCGAATGTGCTAAACTTTAGGAGACGCTGCAGCCACACCTTCCATTTCCCTCCAGTCCTTTGCAGGGCAAGCACTCCCACCTGCCCCCACCCAGGGGAACCTGGCCCTCTCTCCCTCCTATTGCATTTGGCTCTGATACCCATGGCGCCTCCACCCCGTCCCCAGTGTGGGCGCCAACCGTCCCTGATAATGACCTTAGGACTAAGGTGTCCAGGGAGGATGGGAAGGGGAAGGAAGACAGAGAGGAGCTGAGCTTAGAATTCTGCCTCCATCTTGGAAAACCCAAGATCCTGCTAATAAAGGCGAGGACCTTGAGTCCTTGCCAGCAATTCATCCCCCACTCCCATCTCAAGGAAATCCACGAACAGGTCCTAAGAAGGAAGCAAATGCCACCTGAACAGCCTGTGATGAGGAACACGTCTACTTGCTGAGCTATTGTGGGGCACCCAGAAGGCAAGATGGTCCTCTTGTTTCTTTAGGTCTGGGACTCCACCCAAAGGCTTCGCAGAAGATAGCTTTGCCATTGTCCAAAGGCCCTTTCCTGTAAGTGCAGCCATGGGCCATCGGGTTACCATGGGCGAGGGGAAGTCTGGCTTACGGTGCCTTCCCAGGCAGGGCCCCCAGGAACACAGAATCCATGTGCCCTTGGGCACTTCCAGTCCCTGACATTCCTAGGCAATCACAATCCAGGATGTGCTCTGAGTGGCTGGCAAGTTCACACGGATGCATTGAAGCCCTGACCTCACACCATCCACATTGGCCTTCATTAGCCATGTTCCCTCATGCTCCACCATGCTCCCTCATAATCCAGCATGCTCTACCATTGTCCATCATGCTCTCTCATGCTTCATCAAGGTCCCTGGGACTCCATTCAAAGGAGAACTTTACATGGAGGCTGCGTGGGTCCTCCTGCCCTTAGCACTGGCCAAGGACACACAGGACAGAGCCCAGGGTGTTCGCAGCGGCCTGGAAGCAGAGGCAGTCCCATCTCGATGCTGCCCCACTCCGGGTATCCCCCAGCCCGTGCCTCCACACTGGACCCATCTTACAAGTCTTCTTTTGGAAGTTCCTTCAAAGTAAGGGGCTCCCTCTTATGCTGGGAGGTTGTGTGTGTTGTTTCTTCTACTGAAACACTCTCCATCCCCTGACTACCCTCCCCCATCTGCCGGATTCCACTCATCCTCCAGGCATCCCCGAAGGCCTCTCTTCTCCACTCTGTAGGGCCTGGTGCTCACCACATGTGCCCTGCAATAAACTCAATCCTACTCAGCTGTTGGCTTCTCCGTCCCCTCACTAGACTCTGAGATCCAAGAGGACAGGACTGGGTCTGGCTCTCTTTCACCAGGGTGCCTGGCAAAGCACCTGGCGTGTGGCTGTAGACACCCTCCCGGTGTCTTATAAAATGGCACATCCAGTTAAGAGAAAGGATAAAGAACAGATGACATTTAGCACTTTCTAGTACTGAAAATACACGTTAATTAGTAGCAACAGCTAAATAGGTGGCAATAGATGACCAAAACGACAGGAGACCAGGGAGAGGAGGAAACGATGCTCAGCAGCGAGAAAGAGGAAGGGGCTCCTTCCCAGGGGTGGGGAGGGCAGCACGATGGCAGCACGATGGCAGCACGATGGCAGGAGTGAGCTTCGCTGTGGGTGACACTTCCGTCAGTCCCTGCCTGGGCCACTGCGTGTAGAGCGTCAGGGGACCTGGGTGGCAGTTGCTTCTTTGTGATGGTGAGAGAGAAACAGGGAATACCAATTTTAGCTTATTTGGGAGCCAAGAGTTATTTGCCCAGCAGGTTTCCAGTTATGCTTCTCTGAGCCATCAGCAACTAAACACATATTTAAATAATTCAGAATTGGCAAAAGGAAAAAAAAAAGTAAATAACCCGAAACAGACTTTAAAAATAAGTAAATTACTAAAAAGGAATTAGAGATAAAACTAAAAAGCAAAAGGTAAAATCCATTCCACCAACAAGGACCTCAGTGAACATGGAAGATAAAGCCTGATACTATAAAATAATCCAGAGCCAAAGATAATGAAAAAGATCAAATCTTTACATAAAAACAATCTTCACATTGATTAAAAAATAATTTCTTCAAATACTAGGAAGCAATCTTCAAGCACCAAGGGTGGGTTTTAAATAAGAAAAATATTTTCCTACTTATAAAATCTAGCTTATCTACTATCTTCTTTTAATAAAGATTTGAGGAAATCACATATTAAACTGGGTAGTTAAAGATGAATTTGTAATAGACCAGAAAGCATTTTGGAAGGCAGAAGAATAAAACCAAAATTTGAATGTGTGAGAGCTAAATTTGGCTTTGAGCTTCCTGGCAACCAAAGCAAAAACACAACAGGAGCCCCTTGTCATTCCTGTTTTACCGCGTGCATCCTCAGCGAGGCCATGTTAGCCCTAACGGGGTGAAAATTCATTCCTGGGGACAAAAAAAATCTTAGTTTGTGAATATAAGAAGCATAGATATACATAAAGTACATAAATAGCTACATAGCATATCTGTACTATTAAAATTTCATGATGAGGAATGATGAGAAAAAAATGCCTACAAGGCTCTGTGGGAAGCAATAATGAAAAAAGGTTGAGAAGCTCTGTGTCTGATGAAATGGAATACATCTGCCTCCAGGGGGGTAAGCTGTGTCCCTGGAATGTCATTCCAGAAGGAATGTCTCCCAGACACTTGATGACACAGAGGTCAGTTTCTCCCTCATTCGATTTGCAGTCCAACCTTGATTTAAAAGGAAGAAATTTTGTGTCTTTATCGTTTGAAGTTCAGTCTTTTGTGAATATATTTGCATATTTATAATTTATACTAGGAAATTTCTGTAATGTGTCAAGTGTGTCACATTTTCCCATCATTGTGTTTTCCGCGTACATCCCAGCTCTAGACACCAGTCTGGGATTCCTGGAAGCTGTTGGGGGTTGGGGGCATGGGGGAATCCCACCAGAGTGTGAGGTGTGGAGATTATCTGGGGGGACTTTCTGGAGGAGGCTATGGTGCAGGGGAGAACTAGAACCCAGACGCCATTCTAGGATAAAAATTACCATTTTCCGTAGGGCCAGGAACTATTTTACAATTTTTGGGGACAGCTCATGCAACGTGAAATGCTGACTATTCAAAAATTATCCACCCCCAGGGGCTGGCCTCTCACGCATTGGCATGCTGACGCAATTGGTTTAGGATTGTTGATAATAACCAATTTCTCACATACTGGATTGACAGGGAATGAATATTTATCTTGGTCAAAGAGCAAGGATTCACACAGAAAAAATTCTATATTTACGTGTGCCTAAAATGTCCTGGAGATGGACTGGATATTTACAACAAGGACAAATACACCGAGGACAGCTACTGAAGGAGAGAAGGAGCCTCTGAGCCTCCTGGGTTCCGAGGTAGCCTCCCAGAGGCCTGGTTAGAAGAGGCACATCCTTGTGGTTCCAACAGGGACTCGCTTGGAAGGAACCAGGAAAACAAATGTGCTTTACATGGAACAAGGACCCCTTCATTGTTTCTTGTCACCCAAGGTCCAGGAAAAGCTCTGAAGTCTGACAGTTATATGACAGATCCCAGGAAACAAAGCCCTCTCTCAGATGAGCAGCTGAAAAGGCTAAAGGGAGTGCAGGCAGGAGCCCAGGTTGCGTTGAAGTGACGGCTTCAGGAAGGGGGGCTCTGCTCTGCAGACATGCAGAGGGACATGCAGAGGGACACGGGTGGTGTCCATCTGGGCCCCAAATCAGAGGAAGATGTGCACATGTCTAAATGGGGATCACAAACTCCCTGAGAAAGCAGAAAGAAAGCGCAGCATTTGTATTTTACACCAAGGGGTGGAAACATAGCATCTCAGACACTGTGAATCTTTTTATATGACATTTTATTTTTTATTGTCAATGATTAACTTTGAGCCTATTCGAAAAGTATCATGATTATACTGAATAAAAAAATATAGATGATAGAATAAAAATATTAGGTTATACGAAGTTAGTTTTTTTTTAAAATCATCGTCCACCAACATTTTCAGTATTTTAGAGCTTTGAAAACAAAACATAGAAATTTAATTTGCATTGTATTTTTTTACATTTCCAGCAGTTAAAAATTAAGAACACATATTGGCAGTCATTTGCAGACACCTATTACAATAAATGGAAGGACCACAAAAACGAAAACGGGTTCTAAGAACCATCATATATACACACTTCTGTACAGAATGAGGACAATAAGAATTTACCCAATTAAAACCGTCTCTTGTGGTATATGTATTCTGTTTTAAAAAGGAGAGAAAAGTGATCTTCCTATATTTATAGTTATTTTTCCACTTGATCCAGTATTTTTAATCGTGTTTCCACTCCATAAATTAGTAACTGTTCAGTAGCTGAGAAATAGCCTAGTTTAAATTATACCAGAGGAAATCAGGCCTTCCCTGCAAGGGTTGACCTTAATTGCCCGATGCAGGTTGAAGAGACATTCAACCAACAAAAAGTCACACCGTCAGCCACAGCAGGGAGGGTTTGGAGAAACATTCTGTACATGTGAGCTGGGACGGGACTCTGAGAAGGTGAGAGCTCAGAAGCTCAGGCACTGTGCAGTTCTCAAGGACAATGGCCTAACCTCTCCTACGATGCGCAACGCGGCTCAGCGCAACTCTTTGCTAATGTGTCATTTGGCACAAAAAGAAAGGGCTTTTGGGCAAGACTTAGGCTCTCTCAAGGAGGACACCCTTTCGATAAACATAACAGTACGTCCCAGACCCACGTCCACCTTGCTTCCTAATACGAAACCTACGCACTCCAAGGTTGAAAAACCAACTCCTTTTAAGGAAAAGCGATTGCACTAAATGGCAGACATCACAGGCCCAATGAGGTAAACGCCAGACACAGAAAAAGACACGGAGGGAGAGGAGAGATGACAGCTTGGTCTTTCCAGCCCGTCCTGCCGCTCACTGCACGATCCCGGAGTCCACGGATGTCTGCTTGCGCGTCGTCTTTGGAGGGGGAGGAGGCGGGGTTTTGCTGGGCAGTGGCGGTGGCAGGTGCTAGAAGACAAGAATATGAGGGAGACGTCATGTTACTGATGCTCTGACAGGAGAGAAATGATCTCCAGGTGGAGTCTGTCCCGGCAAGATGGTGGCATGGGTGGGAGGTGGGGGCGGGAGAGTTAACGTGTGCCCCTGGGTGGCGACTGCCCTCTCCATGTGACTTGGCGTCAGCCACACTCAGGACTGGGCTGCTGCAGCTCTGATTAACTGCTTTTCATAAAGCACTTTAGAAGTCGGCACAGCCCCTGAGAAGTGTAACCCCAGGTGCCGTTGTTCGAGGGGCCCTTGGAAACTGACAGGTTTCAGACCTGGGCAGTTTAAACGGTCAAGAGCAAGTGACTGTGGGCAATGCAGGGCCAGGGCCGCCCAGGCAGCCTGGCGGTGCCACCGCTGAGCCTCCCTCAACGAGGACTCATGGGTTCCTCCTCGTGCCCCTGAAAACGTCCCTAAATGTTCAGGGACAAACAAGTCCTTGGAGATGCTCTCCAGGGGTGGGCGAGGGGCCCTCCCTTGCTCTCGGAACTGGAAAAGCCACACGGGCAAGGCCATGGGGGCAGCTGCGGCCGCCCAGCAAGTGACCAGTATACAGGTAGTTTTTCATCCAGTCGCTTCCGAAACTGCAAACGGAGGCAGCTGAGAAAGGTGAGGGGGATGTTTAAACTCTTCATGGGGGGAAATGCCAAATGTAAAGAAATGGTGCAGCTGTGTTTCAGTAAAAATTTATTTATAAGAACAGGTGGCAGGCTGGATCTGGCCCGGGGGCCAGGGTTTGACTTAGGTCCCCAAGAATGAATTGACAACTGTAAAGATGACGGAACAAAGCCCTGTGTAGTGGACCCGCCAGGACTGAGGGCGGCCGGTGCCCTCTCTTTCGGTGCCCTGGCACCATCACAGACGCCTGACACACAGGAGAGGTGACGCCTCTTTACTTAAGCAAACAGGTAAAGGAGCGAGCGAGTGAGTGAACAGGTGAACGGATGCAAGAATGAATGAATGAATGAACAAGTGAATAAGTGAACAGTGAGTGAATGAACCACTGAATACGAACAGAGGAACAAATGGACAGGGCAGGGTAAGTGGATGCAGGCCACAGGGAGAACAAATAGCAACGAATTCACAGAGCACCGGCATCTTACTACGGGCAGCAGTGGATTTTTCAAAGCCTCGCAGTGGAGGGTCACATTTAGCTCAATGTGAGGAGAGTTTCAAGGTCAGAACAGTGAGGCAGCAGTCTGCCTCTCATCACGCAGACAAGTGAATACGAAAAGGACCCAGTGCTTAACACAGAGAAGAGAATAAATGTGGAAAAATACAACTGATACAATGATATTTAGACATTATAAAAAGGGAAGCAAAATAGTAGACTTGAAATCGGGAAGAAGGGTTAAAAGCAACACCTGCCTGGAGGTCTGATGAAATGGCTGTTTGTTTACATGTGGTGGAAGCCCTGCGTGTTTTGTTTTCTTTTTTCTTTTTCATAAGGCAGGCTGCAGGCTTAAGCTTTGATCGCCCGGGCATGCACTGCAAAGGTGGCTGAGTGGGTAGACACACAGCCAGATGAAGAGCTTCCTCCCACGGAGGCCCCTTTGCTTTAGAGGCCCTGGTTGGTTTCAGTAACTGACCATTTGGGCCACTTGTTCGTTCCTCTTCTCGGGCTTTCATTTCCTACTCTTAGGTTTCAGAGTCACCACTTAGGAGTGAGCCCACCGAAGCCCTAGCTCCCAGCCTGGGCCCCAGGAGAGGCAGAACCCCGGCTCCTGGGGGAGCTCTCTCTCCACCCGTGACCTTTCTGTGTGTCGTGCTGTGTGATGTCCAGGTCCTGTGAGGAATACACCTTTATTTTATTTTCGGTTTCCTGACGGTTAGTGCTGAAGGGTGTCTTGCCATCATAAGAACACAAGGGCGGGTCCAGCCACCACACTGGTATTGGACAGGCTGATACCGGCACAGAACACACGTGAAAGCCAGAGATGGGTCCGTGGCGAGCCACTGAGGGCCAGGCCACGCAGTCGGATACGAACACATTCCTTTATGCCGAATACGAGCGCAGCAGGCTTATCACTAATAAGCGACACGTTAGCCCACATTACTGGTGGTCAGAGCCATTTCGAAAGAAATGACAGCTTACAGTGGCAACAGCTGGAGATACCAGCCCACGGCTGATCAATGAGCATGACGGGAGAATCAACGACCCCCCACAGCAGAGGAACAAGCATCCTACACCAGCTCTCAGGAGGCCCCCTAGACACGCAACTACTTCCAACTAATTAAGACACATTAACCACGGCCGTGTCGCCTGGACGCGCTCTCATGCTGCAGGTAAATCAAATAAGAAACAAATAGCAAGGAGACTTGGGAAATTAAACTAATCGAATCACAGCCCCTTTGTAAACGGAGACAGAGTTTACATGTACTAGTCCCAACAGCACTGGCATCAGTAACAGAATGATTTAGCAAAGAAACTGAGTTCATACAATGTTGCCCATGAGTTGATTTGTAACAAAAACAAGACTTCCTCCTACTTCCGCGATCAGAATTCTTAGTTCACGGGTGGAGGGAGACCTGCCGGATAGTCCTGCTTTTCCAATAAAATAAAGATGTGGTCGGTCAACCAAGCTGCTAGGAACACAACACCCCAACCAATCGGTGTTCCCCTTTTGTTTGAACTTGTAGTTAGACTTGGGTTTCCATAGTTGCAACAAACCATTCGAGCCCTGTGAAAAGCCATCATCAGGTAACCTGTCCCCTTCCTTCTCCAGGGCCACTTCCCTACAGCGGCATCTTTAGGGAGAGAGGGCTGATCTCAAAGGCACCACAGCCTCAGAAGGGCACCCGTCCCTTCAGCATGAAAGATGAAGTTCCCCCCCTGTTTGGTTTTCTTACACAAGAGGAATACATCAAATGTATATAGGACCATAAATAAATCCCCTCTCTCTTCCACTCCTCTCACAAGAAGAGAGACAATAAACTTACAGAACACTCGGTGCAAATGTCTCCATAAAAAGAAGAAGAAAAGGTGTGCAGGATTTATATTGTTTTTTAATGGGAGAAAGCACACCTTGCCGCTGTGAAAAAAATCACAGCCCCGTGACAACCTCACGTGTTCAATGTTGCACAGCTGTTGTCATTTAATGACTTTACTGAGGCTCCCCAGCGCACAGATGTGAAGGCTATTTTGGTCTTCACACTGGGCCAATTTGAGTTTATACAGATGCACCTGGAATCGGACCTCCCGCCCCCCTTGGGTGAGTCCCCCGGGTGCCTGGCCCTCCACGGGCACGCTGACCGCCGCACGCGGGCCGGTGAACAGCTGAGAACCTGTGCGGCAGCAGCCTGGCGAGCCAGGCCAGAATCACTGTGGATCGCAAAAGAATGTCTCTGGAACTGTCAACGGGTAGCAGAGGTCCTGGTTTCACGGCTTTTTAAGACTTTCAGCTAATATTTGCATTAGCAGCAAGCCCAGAGGTCACTGAGCAGTGAGCACACCGGACGAGATTAATGGCTGAAACAAGTTTCCAAGGGGTACCAGCCTCGGGGAACCAGTACTGGTGAGGGTTTGAGCTGGCTGCTCAGGCTTGTGGCAGCCAGCACCCCGAATCTAAATGGGGAAGGGTTTCAGGGGGGCACAGTTGGAGGGGTGTGGCCTCCAGGGACCAGGGTTTGCCTAAATTGGAGCCAGGTCGTGCTTGTCCTGTGCAGGTTCTCTGTGTGGCGAGTGCCTGTCCCCAGTGGGGGGGTGGGGGGAGGGTGGCCAGTGTGGGGGTGCTGCCATTGGGAGGAGCTTCTGGGACAAGGGCTTCTCAGGGGCCAAGTGGGTATCCGATAGGGGCGTGCCTCCATGCAGCGTGACATCGGCCAGCTTCTTTAAAAAGTCACACATACCGAAAATGAGACCTAACCAGAAACGCCCTAGCGTGAGTTTGCAGGATGCTCGTGATAGAAGCTCTATCCCAAACATAAGCCCCAGTTAAGATCGTCAGCCAGACAGGACTGAATACATGTAGATTTTTGTACATGAATAAATGAATAAATGTAGATCACTGGAGCAAAAATTAACATAAGACCCGGTCTTATTTTCAGGGAAACACGGTAATACCTCTTCATAGAAAAGCTGTGTTTCAAAATCAACTTTCACAAGAATTGCACCTTAACTGGAATGACCCCCAAGGTAAAGGGGTCGCCCTTCGATCCAGCGTCAGGAACTTCACCACCCTTTCCGAGGTCACATCTGGACGTGGATCTCTATGCAGTGATAACGACAGAACCACAGATCGCACGGACCAGAGCTGTGACCGCTGTGACCTCTTTCTCAGAATCAAAGCTAGCCTAGCTAAGGAGACACATTAACATCAGGAATGAGGGTTTTCGATTCTGTGGAGGGAACGCCCTGACTTACCCTCTGGTGAGGAGGAGGGGGCGGGGGCGCTGCCGAAGCCATCGTGTCCTGCTTTTCCATCAGGTACCCGTAGTCCGCCACGCCGCCTTTCAGAGGCAGAGGGGGCGGGACCTCGGCCATGTCCATCCCGGTCACGCCATTCAGCTCCAAACCTGGAAAACCGGGATGGATTTAAAATCAAACCCACATCCCCGCGGGGTGTGAACCATGTGTGGATGCTTCACGTTCTCTCTGGGAGCGGAGCGCGGAAGGGAGGCAGAAACACTTGGCCCCGCAGAAACGCTTGTGAGCAGGGCAAAGAAAAGAGGGGTGGCAACGTGGAGGGCAGGGCACACCCTCCTAGAACAGGGCACGTTCTAGAAAGAGAACATCCAGTGCCATACGGCACCCACGCCCAGAGCTTGAAGGAGGCACCAATCCACTATAAAAACAGCCACATCACCCCGGGTCTCTTCTGATCCCTCCCTGGGCACCTGTGCCTCGGGGGCATCTGCGCAGCTGGGCGGCACAGGGGCAGTGTCCGCCCGCAGTTTTGGAAGCCCAGCCGGGGCTCTGTCCCCAGCCTCCCGCAGGTATCGCCTGGAGGGCTTCCCCACACAAGGTCTACGCAGGCAGCGCACAGCCAGCCGCCCCCTTTCAAAGCATCTCACCAGGAAGACCCAGGACTGCATGGAATGAAGTTATTAGCAGCAGCAGTCACTCTGGCTGTTGCTTTGAATAGGCCAAGGGAAGTACAATTGATTTTTAAAGTAAACTGAAAAAGGAGCCCTTTGCGAATGGGGAACAGTCATTAAGACAGCATATTTTCTCAACCCTTGTTGAGACTCTTCAAAATAATCTGTTTTCCTTTCATGTTAAAGGAAAGAAAAGTGACATTTGTGCTGACGGGCCCATTTTAGAGTTTTCCCAACGATCCAGATGATGAGAAAACCCTTCGTCGGGACAGTGCTTCCCGGGAAGAGTCATGTCCGTTTACTGGGAAGCCCTGCTGTGGAATCCTGGGGAGCAAGAGACCTGGCTGAACGGCTGCCCTCCGGGTTGGCTGGCTGGTTATTTTTATTGTGGTAAAATATATGTAACTCCAAGTTTGCCACTTAACCACTTTAAGTGTGCACATCAGTGGCATTTATATATTCATAATGTTGTGTGACCATCACCACTATCTATTTCCAAAACTTTTTTTATTAATATCACCTCAAACACAAAACCTCTACCCTAAGGCAACACCAGCCCTCTCCTCTCGCCTGAAGCTCACAGGGGGTTTTGAGAGCCAGGATGGGCCCCACACTTTCTGTCTGGGAACTCGGGAGCCCAGGCCTGAGCTCTGGCCAGATGTGCTGAAGTCCACTGGGACAGGGCGACAAGCCAGGGGCCCCTGGAAACTCCATCTGCTGCAACGGGCAGAAGGAGGTCTAACCTCAGAGGCTTCGATCAACGGGGCCGTTACAGGACCGTGTCCTGAATTCAAATGCGGAGAATGCTTGACTCACTGGACTGCAAACTGAAGCTCAGCTTGGCCCGTGGCGTGACTGGAGGGGGTGTCTGCTGGGAGGACGGCGATGACGGCGACACTGAGAAGCGCCTTTCACTTCCAGCGACGTTGATCACCTGGCTCTTCGGTCTCTGGGGCCGCAGGGGACTTATCTATGATAGAAGGACAGAAAGAGTGGAGTTAGGGTCTGTCGTGGGCTGAGTTGTATCACCTCAAAAGTCACATGTTGAAGTCTTAACTCCCAGTGCCCATGAACGTGACTTTATCTGGACATGGGGTCTCTGCGGATGACAAAGTTAAGATGAAGTCATTAGGGTGACCCTAATCCAATGTGACTGATATCTTTATAAAAAGGGAATTTTGGACACAGGCACATGCTCACAGGAGGAATGACACAGGAACATGAAGGCAGAGATCAGGGTGATGCTTCTACAGGCCAGGGAACCCCAAAGATGGCCAGCAAACCCCCAGACGCTGGGGGAGAGGCCTGGACCAGTCTCCCTCCCAGCCTCAGAAGGGACCCACCCTGATGACACCTTGACCTTGGACTTCCAGCTCCCAGACTGAGACAATACAGTCCTGCTGTTTACGGCACCAGCTGGTGGTACTTTGTCACAGCAATCCTGACTGATGTCTATTACATCAGGACATTTTATTCACATGTTTCTTACAACTTGGTCTCAGATCATTAGGCCTTGGGGAACACAAGCAATCCCAAACCACTCTGAAGTAGGAGTGATTAGAAATGTTATTGACCAGTAGAAAAGGGAGAATCCAGGTATCGCCCCTCACCCCCCAGGCGGGCGGGGGGCTCGGGGCTGGGTCCTGCTGGGCGGGCCAGTGGCAGAGCATGTGGGCGGAGATGTGTTTCTTCTAAGTGGTCTGCAAAGGCAGGGCTCACCTGGATGCCACTGAGGCTGAAACGGGGAGAAGAAGGTTTAAGCCCTCCAGTAGCGGGGTGGGTGAGGGGACCAGGCTGGCTTCCAGAACTCTGCCACGCTGATGGAGCAGATCCCGGAGAGCTGCCATCCGCCCTCAAGGGTTCCCTGCAGCTTGACTGCTGGGGGAGCTCTGGGAGGCCTGGCCAGGCTCGGGGCTCTCCGCGGGGGCTTCCCGGATTGTTCAGGTGCAGCGCCCACCCTGCCCACCTTTCTGGTTCTTCTGTCCTTCCTGTCCCACCCCATAAGGGCCCTTTCTGAGGATGCTGAGAGCACAGGATGTTTTACTGTGAGATGCACAGGGCATCTGGAGGGCACCCCCCCCAACACACACCCCAGGCTCTGAGAGGCTCAGTCAAATGTCATGAATTGTTGATGATGTGAATCAAGTAGGAAGTTAAGCCAGCCCCAGAGAGCAACCCGAGAATCTTTGCAGAAGCTCAGGGAGGCCCAGCTGGGAGGCAAAGAGCAGTGGCTGCCCCAGGAGGCCCTGGGGGGCACTACAGGTGCCAGGGTGGCCTCAGCTGAAGCGGCTGCTGCCTCTGCTCCAGCAAACCTCCCTCCAGGGGGGCGCCCACTGGCCGCCTGCTCGGCCCTTCCATGGCTCACGGGGGCTTGTGTAGGAACTCTAGGAGCCTAACTACCCACAGATCTTGCTGGCAGTGTCACCTGCGGAGAGAGGCCCCTCTGCGTACAGACAGGTAGCTGGGCTGGACCAAGAACAGTAAGCCAGCCCCCAGGGAGACGTCAGGAGTGCTGGCTCCTGGGGCCGCAGCTGTGGTCACTCTGAGACTCAGGCAAGGCCACGGAGGCTCACGGCTCTGCGCGCTGACCCTGGTGTGACCCTCTGGGTTTGCTGAGGGTACTTTGGGCTGAACTCAGCCCATGTTTGCCAAGTCCTCCCAGGCAAGCTGGGCCCCAGTGGGGAGGGAAAGAAGTGGCCCTGTGACGGCTGAGTGCCTGGGCACCCTCTGACTTCTTTTCACACAACTCAGTGGTGATCAACTCTGCCACTTGGCTCAATTTCTGAGACCCTCTGTTTTACCAGCCTAAAGAACATACCGAGACTTGCACAGTGTCTGGCACTTAGTAAATATTCAAAATACGTTTCTGTTTATACCCCCACCCAGTTATGGTGTCTTGAGATGTGAAGAGTGTATCCTGGGCTTGAGAGCAGGGGACCTTGGCCAGAGCAGGGTCGCTAGCATCCCAGTTTTCTAGAATAGTGGCCAGAGAATGGGGGAGGGGGGTCATCAGAAACTCCCAATCGCAAGGCTGGAGGCCCCACCCCTGGACACTTAATGTGCGCCTCCGCCCTGTCCCTCTGCTGGGCCCTGACATCCTTGGCACCATCACACTGCGTGAAACACCATGGCCAGCCGCAGTCAGAGCTGCATCCAACGACCCCAGAAGGGCAGCCACCTTCCAGAGCCATGGGGTGGCTCTCAGGCCTGCCTTCTGCCGCTAGACAACCAAGCGACACGGCAGCGCTGGTGCGAGTGGCAGAATCCGGATGAAACAGCCTCTGCTGATTAAGACACAAACAAGTGGGGTGCGTCCTGTTCAAAGGTGGTGCCATCTGAGCCCTTTGATCAGCAGCCCTTCAGTCACAGGCAGGACAGGTCATGGGCCCCTGGCCACCACAGACACACGCCCACGTGCTTCTAGGGGGAGGTGGCTCTCCGCCTGACTTAGCCTGTGAGAGCCTCTTCTTCGTCTTGCTTCCAAGTAGCACTCTGAGTAAAGCTGACCCAAGAGGCGCTTGGTGCCTGAATCTTGCCCGCAGATGGCAAACGCTGCCGTGCACTTCGGGGAGCAGCAGCGCCCCGGACTCCATCGTGGGACAGAGCCGGTGTCACACAGCCAGGACTCCGCAATGACCCAGTTTCCCTGGGATCCATCTTTAAGGCAACTAAGCAGCACCTGTCATGTTAAGTCCCCAAAAATCCTTCTGAAAGATGGCTGGGAGATCTGAGGAGCAAGTCAGGCTGGGAGGACCACAAGGGACCCTGCTGCTGGAGGAGTCCAGCCGGGAGGGGCTTTTGGGCTCTAGCTGAGCTGGTTAGGACACTTGGGGCTTAACTGTGGCTCAGTGATGTCCAGTGAGGAAGGGGCGAGGGAAGGGTGTTCGCTGGCACGGAGGACTGCTTCATGACAACAGCAGCATTTCTGCTCATCTTCGATGTCAGGACGCATACTGGCAGAAGGGCCAACCTCGTGGGAGAGACTATGAATGCGCGGGTCCTGCCGAGGGACCCCCACCCCCACTTCCCCTTCGGAATGGAGGACGGTGCCAGCCAAGCATCCTGTGGGAAAAGCGTCACCCTGTGCCCTCCCATGCCCGTCAGCATCGGGCTATGTGAGGCGTGGGCTGAGGGAGACCCCAGACTGTCCCGTGACTGTCTTATGGAGCAGGCAGTGAGCTCCAATCCACAGCCCCACTGGCCACCTGCGGAGCAAAGGTGGGTCCCAGCAGCTACCACAGAGCCGCGGGGGGATGCTGGGAAATTACCGTCTCTGAAAGGATCACAGCCTCCGACTGCTGCAGGGGGATGTCGGCGGCCTTAAGCTCCTTATCGAATATCTCCTGGTGCTTGCTGTTCCTCTTCTCCTTCTTCTTGTCCTTCTTCTCCTTCTCCGGGTCGTCCTTGTCGAGCTTGTCCTGGGACCTGGAGTGCATTTTCTTTGGCAGGAGGGGCTCCAGGGCAAACCTAAAGGAAACGGTTGTTTAAATCACTGACATCTTCGTAAGAGAGCAATTGCTTTTCACCCGGAGACACGTGTCAAGTCACACTCAGGCAATCGAAGTGCTGACTGGGAACTGATGAGTTTTACAAGGAAAGGAATGATTTTCAAAGAGAGGTCGAGGGAGCCTTGAGATACACATCAGCCAATGGCAGTGCATGGGCTGTGTTTGTGCCTCACTAGCAACAAACTGGCAAAAACCCCCCACACTTCTACGACGGTGGGCAAATAGGGAGGCTGGGGGCAGTGATGAAGACATGCCGGGGCTCCTGTTGGTCTGCGAGGGGGGATGGTATTTGGGGTATATTTCAAAGGGGAACCCTCACCTTTTAGGGGTTCCTACTGAAATATTCAAAGATGTGACAGGGAGAAGTAGGCAGATACTGATGGAAAGAAGGTTCTGTTTTGTTGATTCGAACCCGGTTTCCGTGGCTAGTTTTAGATCACAGATGTGTGGGTTGCTTTAATTTGAAGGCCCTTCGATGGCCCAGTGAGATGCAGCTGATGCCCACTTGCAGGTATGTGGAGATACCCTCAGGTTACCAGCCAAGAACTGAGCTACTGAGCACCTGGGTCCGAGCTCTGCCTCCCGCTGGCGCATGAGACGTTCTCTAAGCACTGTGGGCTGGTGGTCCCCAGTCGCAAGATGGAACAGGCCACCACCACCCTGCTGCCTACTGACACCAACAAGGGGGTATAAAAACACGTACATGGCCGACCGAGTACATGGAGCGTGGGCTACTTTCTAAGGCACGTGTCACCGCCGAGTACACACACACATCTGCATCCAACTGCGAGTCACTATTTTAATCCAAGGCTGGGGAGGAAGGCACCCTGTTTCTGTTCTACTGAGTCATACGGGGGAGGGAAGAAATGGATCCAATTCTCAGACTGGAATGTCATCCTCTGTACCAAGCCGGAGGTAGGAGACAGGGCCACCATGCAGAAAGGTGCGGAAATGGCTTTAAAAACTTACAGCGCTAAGCCATGTGTAAAGCACTGGTTTTATGAGGATCTTGTATTTTCAAAGTGTAGCATGTGAAAATGGTAATCTTTCTCAAAAGAGATATGGTCTCGTAAGAGGAGCTGCAGTCATGAGAGTCATCGATGAGAAGCAGCCTATATTGTGATTTCTGATAAATGTCGTTTGCACTGTGGGCTACACATCATTTCAACATGATGAAGAGAAGCAGCAGAAGAAGCCAAGAGCATTTACAAAAGCTCCTTGCCCTCCAGCTGCCCAGGGACCAGCAGTCTCCAAGCGTGGTGGCAGGGCAAACACCAGCCCTCACCAAGGTGGGCTGTGGGGACAGGGAGCTGGCCCGAGCCTGCCCTTGGGGGCTCCCAGGCCTCACAGTGACCTTGAGCCTGACTTCCTGAGCCACCTGGACAACACCTGGGCTTTCTCAAGGAGAGGCTGACTGCAAGAGAAGGGAACTTAGAGAGCCAGTCACATTTTCATCGTAACTGTGGTTTCTTTTAAACTTATTTGTGAAAGGCACATTTGGAACAAAACCACTGCTCAATTAAGGCCACTGCAGCAACCTTGCCCCCAGCGTGGGGGCGGTAACACAGAAATCAACATTTACATGGATCGTTTGCAAAACCACCTGCAAATCCACAGGGGCTACAGGCCAAGAGCAAGTAGTCACATCGCCTACTCTGTCTCTCCCAGTAAAACTGAGGGGCAGCAGGAGTCGTTGTTAAGGTGCGTACCGTTTACACAGTAAGGGTATTGAATGTAGGCATTGATTATCAATAGCTGCTAACGTCGCTGAAACAGAGAGAGGCAGACAGGCTGTCCCTCAGAATGGAAGGGGTTATGAAGTCATCCTGTCCCCAAATCAAACCTGAATCTGATGAAGCCTCTAGAAGCAACCATCAGTCTGCAGGGGATACGGAGGGCAGACACACACATCCAACGGCACAGGAGGGATGCAATCAGCCAACTCCAGACTACAGGTTAGGTAACCCAGACTTTGCAAGGCATAAATCACAAGAAAAGAAAGGAAGTGGAAAGAAAAATCGATTGATTCAAAGGGAATTAAAGAGATATATCAATCAATTGCAAGGTGAGAATCTTATCTGGATCGATTTCAAACCAATATACTTTAAAAATATGACATTTATGACACAATTGGAAATTAATGCCAACATTTTATAATATGGAATTACTGTTAATTTTTATGTGTGATAAATGTTTTTTTAAGTTTTATCTTTTAGAAAAGTTATACTGGATATTTATGGATGAAATGATGTGAGGTTTGAGATTTGCTTCAAAATAATATGGGGGAGGGAGAGAATGGAATACAGGCTGAAATGAGATTGGCGAGGAGTTGATAATAGTGGGTACAGGGCCTCACTATAACAGTCTGTCCACTTTGTATATGCCTGAAAACTTTCCATAATAAAAACTTAAAAATGGCTGATGAAATACACATTTTGACTTTGATCAGCAAGGCATTTTGGGACACCTGGACTTTCCCAACCAAATACACAGTAACCAATAAGTCAACATCCACTAGGTGTTACATATTGTATCTATTATACTAGAAGCAATAATAAAAAAGCTTCATGATTTTTATTCTAGCTTTTGCAGGACTTGAGACAATGTAGGAAAAAAGGACTCGTGGGTGTCATTAGCTCTGAGGAAGACCTGCGCTGTGAACTACAGACAAGTATTCAAAGAACCAAAAGACAGGTTGCGCTTTAAGTTTTTCACCTTATGAGAAGCAACTGCTGACAGGAAGTCCAGTGAAACCTTGGATTGCAAGTGTTCTGCAAGATGAGCAAACATTTCTAATACATTTTAACATGGTAAACGAGCGATGTCTTGCAGTACGAGTAGTTTGTTTCTGGAACAAATGATGCTCGCAAACCAAGGTATCACTGTACTTTATTCTGCAGGTCCCTGTGCCAGTTGAGACCAAAGTCTCATTTTCTCCATATTAGTCACACAGCTTGGGGTGGTAACCCCGAGAATGAACAAAAATCTGGACTCCACCAACGATGCCTTTTAGTCCAAAGTTAAACGAAGGTCTCCCGGGGCGAAGGAGATGAGTACCCACGCTTCTGTTCATAAGTGCAATGCCCCACTTTCCTCTCCACAGTCTGCGCCCCGTTTCCACCCTCACCCCTAGTGCCTGGAAATACAAAGCCTTTTCGTAACTAGCCGGGGGGCTTTCCTGGGGAGAGGCTCAATTACATTTCTTTAGCAATCTTGTTCTAAGTGACAAGCACACATGATTTAAATACCTCTAGACTGAGAATTTCCATATGGACTTGGCCTTGTAAGTAGCAGACACTGATAAAAATTACTGTTCAGAAAAAAATGTGGGTGTAGTTTTCAATTCTCCATTGGGCACATAAGTTGTTGCCGAAACAAAGGGCACGCAGAGCTGACTGTCCTTTGAGTGTCCTGGAAGACTGTGCCTGCATGCTGCAGGGGCCAGGGCTTGGGGGACTGACAGGGTGATGGATTGCCAACCAAATGGGGCCGGATAAGCACTCAACTCTGCAAACTCGACAATAAAACAATTAGAAGTGCTTCTCTGAGGTTTAAATTGCATGCCACGTTTTTCTTTTTTGTATAATAAGAAAAGAACACACTTTACACGTTTGCTACTCAAAAGCACAGCAAACGTCAACACGGAGGTTCTCTCAACACGGAGCCAATGCGAGAGCATGACACACGCTCCCCCGTCTATCAGGCTGAGTCCCCTTCTCAGCCGCTGTGTGCTTTCTGCTGCTCAAGAGCAGATATGGGTCTCCCGAGAAAGAAGGTGGCCCTGGCAGCCTTCACGTAAGCCTGACTGGGTGTGACAGCCCTGCCCTGGTGTGACACCATGGAAGGGAGCCAGAGATGGAAAGTCCAGGTACACGGCCGGCCAGGAACGCAGCACGCTTCTCCTAGGACATGTTGAACAGACCTGTACAGTCACTGGAGGTTTTAAGATGTGATGGAAACCTTAGGGAAAGTGGTACCAAGGGTGAGAACTTCTCAAAAACTCACAAGACCCTGAAAGCCTTACGGGGTACTACATTCGCAAAGTCTTGGAGGGTCTCAGCTTCACAGATAGTTTTAATTTCAAAAATGCCTCAGATGTGATGCAAGAAACCCAGAGGCCCCTCTGGGCCCCTTCCAGCCCTCTCCCTGATGCGGAGGCTGACTCACCCATCAGAGCCCGGCCTGGAAGGGGTGCTGTCCGATGACAAGGAGGAGACGGAGGCCACCGACAGAGGCCGTGATGAAGAAGGCATCGTGAAGGATCGCACCATGGACCGAGGACGGCTGCCTCGTCTGTCGTCCAGGCTTGAGGGCTGAGAGACAGAGGAAAGGGGATGGGAGGGGGAGAGAGAGGCTTGTCTGAAGTCTGTGCCGAAAGGCTTCTACCTGGCACGGTCAGGCTCTTGGAACTAAGTGGTCTCAGCAGCCTGGAATCCAGACCAAAACTGCCCACACTTTTATAAACACTACATGTTCCTCCTGTTCAGAGTCGGAGATGAAAACAATGATGGTTTGGGGGTTTTCTGAAACCTGACCCAACACTGAAGAATCCCGGAAAGAACTTGCTTGGCTTTAAAAAAAAAATGTTTAAATGCAGTTTTCTTTACCAAGACCACAGAGCATCAACCTGTTCCAAAGTCACAGTAGAATGTACTGACCAGAAAATTTAATTTATAGAGAAACATGTAGGATGTGATGAAAGAATGTGCATGATCTTTAGATGAACTCTGTGTATCTTTGCATGCTGACGGACGGTGCAGATCACCAACATAACAGATATGTGACGACTGAGCCTGTCTGAACCCAAGTCAGATGCGCCTGCTTGTAGCTAAGGCGCGACTGGGCCAGGGGTCCGGTCCCCCTTCTTGCCAGGCAGTGGGCTGGTGATGCATGCCCGAGAAACAGGGTCCCTGGGCCGAGTTTTCCATCCTCTCTTTGACATATGATCGTATATTACCAAAACAAGTGTCCCTGAAATATACCACATGTCAACCTGTAATTAGCTACAAAATGCTAGTGTAGGTTCCCTGAGCCAGATGTTGGCACATCTGGGACTGCAGCTGCTGCAGAAGCTCCTTTCTGTTACCTGAGGACGAGGAAACCAAATTCCCGTAGGGCGCCTCCTCTCTGTGTCTTCGGCTGCCCCACCCCTCACCCCCACGCCCCCAAAGCCAGCATCTCATTCAGCCAGGACCCGCAGGATAAAGGCCAAGGTGGGCCAAGCTGAGGGCTTGCGGGGGCTGCCCGTGGATTAAGAAGTCAGAGGGTGTCTGAGTTCTCTCCTACGGCTTAGGCTGGCTCAGAAAAATTGACAAAATGGTTTATGTCCTTTCTATGGGGTTTTTATTTTTAAATCCATCTTTTAAAAAACAGGATGATACTATATTGCTTTTCAAAGTATTCTGAGATGTTTGCAGGTTTTCAAAGTAGGTAAGACAGGAGAGGCTCTCCCAGACGGCTCTTCATTGTCGCATTTCTCCGAGGACGGCAGGGGCATCTGCCTGGCCTTTGCCTGCTCACGGGAGACTAGTTCCACGGTCTGCGTCTCGGGTCCCAGGATGGAGGGGGACTCAGGAGGGTGGTTTGAGGGCACGAGCACCCACAGGTGGGGAACGCACTCTTCATTCTGTTCCTGGACCGCCTCTCAGTGAGCCTGTCCCAGCGCCAGCTGGGAAGGGCCCCAGCTGCCCCCACAGAGAGGGTGGCCCGTGGTGGGGATGGTGGCTCCTCAGAGTGTGCTGGAAACTGCGAATCGCCAGCCCAGGACAGCTGCCTGGGAACAGGACAAACCTGTCCTTAGGTGGGGAGACGCCCGCCACCCACATGACACCCCGCCTTCCTGCCCTTGCTGTCCTTCGTCCCTGAGCCCAGCAGACGCACGCACAGAAACACTGAATGGCAGCACAGGGGAGGGATATGAAGGCTGCGTGGTGAGCAGGGCAGGTTTCCGTCATTTCGAAATAGACATTAAATGATCCACAGAAGAGGAAGCTTTTCACTTAGTAAGAAAACTTCGAGATCTCACAAGTGTTGATTTCTTAGAAAGAATTCAAAGTGGCGTCAGACCTGGAAAGAGGCGCATTAGGATGTGCTCCGAGACCCTCCTTGCCTCTTGACGCTGACGGTAATGAGCTGCAGGCTCCGCGGCCATCAGCGCTGCTCAGGGTTCTGGCTCGCACGGAGGTGCTCTCGCGTGGCCTGGCAGGAGAGCACCGGGCTCCCCAGCCGGTCCACCTGCGGCAGCTCCCGCTGGGCTGGCAGTCCCAGCTCCTGCCGGCTGAGCTTTCAGACCCGAGTCCGGCAGCTGTGTGACTCTTGGCTTTGTCAGGCTTATGCCAGGCTGGGCCCAGGGCTCCGCCATGGCCGGCAGGGTGCAGCGGGTGGGAGAGCAGGGGCTGTAGTCAGAGCCAAATGGGCCCCGCTCAGGGGAGGCCCCGTCTCTTCCATCTCCAACCACATGGGCAAGAGAGGGGACACGCTGCCGCGTAAATTACAGTCGTGAGGAAAGCACAGGCTGGGGCCGGCTCACAGGCTTCAAACGCTGGGTCCGCCCCTGGCGGGCTGTGGCCTCGGGCCAGTTAACCTTCCCAAGTCCCCACTTCCCCATCTGTAAAACGGGGATGACCACAGCGCCCCGCTCATAGCGTCACATGGATTCAGCAAATTCTTATTTGCAAAACACTTGGAAAGGTCCCTGGCACATTGTACGCGCTAAACTGGTGTTTCCTAAATAAGATGCATATATGAAAAAAAGGGAGTTCAACAGAGAACTTCAGAGAGCAGTGGACAGGTGGAGCTGGGCCAAAAAACGGAACCAAAATGGCACATCCCACTGGACACCTGGTTCTTTAGGAAGCAGAGAACAGTGCCCATGTTAAGGGAAGCACAGTGACTTCCCATGCGTGCAGCCCTTTTGCAGGCCCAGGGGAGACCTGCGCGCACACACCCCCCTCCATGACCGCCGGCATGGCGTTCTCGTAGACCAGCCGGGGTCTCCCTGCCTCCTTTCGCCACACTGCTGCTCATCTCTGAACAACGGGGAACGGGGGCCTCGAGCCTGCTGTGCCAGACGTCTCCAGGCTCCACGGGCAGTCAAGGTCAGACTCCACAGGGTTCCCCAAGATCGTGAGCAGGATGGAAGTGCTGTCCTGCACCACACACCGTCACGATGCTCTGGTAAGCGGTCTGGCCTGGCCCCCACAGCTGCGAAGACACGGCTCGAAGACCACAGGCCTGCCATTGGCTTGAACTGTAAGGCCGTGTGTGTCATTAGAGTCACAAGCTGCTCTTCTGTCATGCTCCTGATCCCGGCACCAGCTCACAAACCTTCCACGAACTCTTAGCAAAAGCCCAGCTCTGCCCCTCATCCCAGAGCAGAGCCTCCTGCTCCAGACTGGCACTCCAGGCTTTGGAGGGCGAGCCCCTTCCCACCTTGCCCCTTCGATTCCTCTGTGCCCAGTGCATGGCTGTGTCTGCTCTGGCCTCTGGCCTGCCCTTCAAATTCCCGCCCCCCAGCCTTCCCCCAGGCAGTGTCCTCCCCACCTCCTCCCCTGACCATCCCCAACGTACCCTTCCTGGCCTCGATCAGTGACAATTTCCTCTAACAGGTAAGTCTTTGCTGACAATTTCTGACCGACCTCAGTAATCCATCACCCCTCCCCCAGTGATTTTGACCTGCGGCTGGGCATAGGCTTGACCTGTGCTCTGGGACATTGTGAGCGCCGTTGGCCTATGTTCCTTAGCCCTTTGTGTGTGTTGTATGACTCCAGATGTGGTCTTTCTGTGACCCAGCTGAGCAACTGGGGCTCTGAGGCGTCCCTGTCGCTCCATCACACACACTAAGGGCCGATCGTGTTCGCAGCATGAGAGCCGGGCATTTGGTGGCCAAGCAAATTCATGAATGTTCACTCACCCTGACCTCCCCAATTATTGAAAGGAAGCTACTGGTTTGCTGCCAGATGGGCTGACAAAGGGGGCGGAGGTCCCTGACACCCCCGCTTCCTCGGCAGGCATCACATACATGTTGTGGTTACTCTGCCCTGCGAGCCTGTCGCTGTTGAACGATGTGACGCACAGAACCCCCTTCAGCCACAGGACCCACTTACCATGGTCCGGACGCCATACTGCTTCTCCACTTTTTCCTTCAGCTGTTTGAAACAGGCTTCCATTCTCTCATGAAATGGCCTCAGTGCTTCTGTGACTTTCTCTCCATGGATCCTGACCCCTTCGGCCAAAAATGGGATCTGAAAAACAAAGGGGTCGACCCTCCTTATTTCTTGGTTAATGGTCCAGGGATGGAACGCACACCGGGCGGAAAGTGGCAACGTGCAGCGTGTATCTGCTTGTCGGTCCAACTCAAACTGGCTGATTAAATTCATCAGCAGGCACACTGCCCCCAAAGACCAAAACGTTTAAGTGAAAATCATTTGTGTTTCAAATTGGGCACGTCTCGTGCGGTGCCGAGCACACGACAGCCACTGGATTATTTCACGGACTCGCGTTTGCCCGTCAATCCAGAAGAGATTTCTCTGGGTTTTCACTTGAGTTCGGGAACGGCTGCATTTTGAATTTGTTTAGATGTGACTTGATCTATTAGCAGTGGGTCATGTCACCATGAAAAGATGGTTTCTAGCTGAGAATATGGTCTTTGTAGGCAACTGAGACCCTATTCCCAAATGTAAAGGTCTAATTATACGTGATTTGCGGTCCTGAAGGGTATTCTTATTTGGAAAGGAAGATCACATTTATTCTTCCTTAAAGCTAAAAATAATCATTTCTCTGCCAACACTGCTGCCACAAAATATCCATGCCAACACTTCATTTCCGAGCACGGAGATGTAGCTGCCCTTTGAAAGCATCACAGACAGACGTTTCATCCCCAGCCCGAGACCCTAAGAGTCCCTGCTGCTGGGTAGGGTAGGAGCGGCTCCATCTCTCCCCGGCTTCTGCTTCTAAACACTCCCCCAACCCCTCCAGCTCAGACAGGGAGTTAGACACTCCTGAATGCAATCAAGCTAAGAGGCTTCCTCTTAATAATTTATAATTAAATCAAAATACTGATTAAAAACAGGTTTTTCTAATATGACAGAACACCAATCTCAATGAGCAGATTTATTAGGAAGAAGGATAATAAGTGCACAATTGAATTTCACGTGAACAAATTCAAGAAATCTTATCAAGATGAACCAACGCCTGAACGGGATTTGGTTGCCATTTATAACCCGCAGCTGTTGTCTCTTGTGGTGCCCGGGAAGGACGGAATAAGCGGCGCTCCAGCCCCACCCGGCCTGCTCTCCTGCTGCACTGACAGTTTGTTTCCTGACAGTTAGGCCTATACCCTAGGAACATGCCAGGTATCCCCTTCCCGCCCGTTATCGCCCAAAGGGCAGCGTGCAGGTGAGATTTCAAAATGGCTGGATCGGTTTAACATTCCATATGAATTCCTCCTGCAGATGGCAGCGTCCCAGGCGAGCTGCAGTTTGCTCAGGTTCAACAGCAGGAAATGCTTCCAGTGAGCCCTCTGCTTCCGCCTCAGGGGAGGGCAAAGGCAGGCGGGGGACAACTTGTGGTGGGACAGTACACGTGTTGTGTCTATCTGGGTGCTGACCGGGGGTTAACGCACAGCCACCCTAGATACCAAAAGCATTTTGGTAGAGAATGGACCTTTCTCAAATGTGCAAACACAGTCCAATCATTTCTGTGTTTTCTGTTGGTTTGATAAAACTCTGAATTGGGCAGACACCTAACATCAAAGAAGCTGCTGAATGGACCAAAATTAAGGCCATTCGGTTTTGGTCCCTGGTACGACGTGGACTGCGATTTGACTTGGCAGCTGAAATTTATGGGGTGTGAGATTTACCCCCTCGATAAGTCCCTGACGCTGGTCACATAGAACCTTGTTCGAGATGGGATCTGGCCCTGGATCTATGCTCGCTTGAGACTGAACTGCAGCTATGAATAAAAATACGTTCCAACATATGAGATGCCTAATAACAAACAGAAGCAGCAGGTGGAGGCCTGAGGGCACCTTTGGAGGCCCTTTAGTTCCACGGGTTCCAACCCGGCTGAGCACCGAACTCTCTCAGACAGATTGCTGAACCCCATCCCCAGCGCCCCAATTCGCTCCAGAACGGGGCCTGGGGATCTGCATTTCTAAAGAGTTTCCCAGAGTCCAGAGAGAAGGGAATCGCCTCAAGGGATTCAAACTGAGCACGCAGCCTGCTCTCCAAAGATGTCCTTCTAAATGGCAGTGCTGTATTTGAAGTCTGCTCGTCTGTCTCCTGCACACAGATTCAGGACCTGCCAACAGCACAGAACACTTGAGAGCATGGCTCAGTGCTCCAGGAGCACCACCCTGGCGACAGTGTCGTGCCTGTCATCAGCTGGGGACGATGAGTGAGCTTGGTCTTTCATCTCATGCATTTCAAAAGAGAAATACAGATGCATCCCAGCGGGTTAATCCGAGTCTGCGTGGACTCATCTTTGGACTCTCGGCAGGGAGGCTCGACCAGACAGCTGCATCGGGGAATGACTGAGCTGTGCCTTTGAGGAGACGGCTGGTGCTACGTGTGACCTGGTGACAGCTGTAAACCCAGAAGAGGCCCCGTGCTGCCTGCACCTGACTCCAGCTCCCGCCTGGGAGGAGTGGGTTGGCATCATCCTGTTTGAGCGATGGCGAAAGCCAAACAAGGAGCTGCCTGCAACTTAACCAGCCTTCACGTGATTGTAGGCACCAAGATGTGCTTATGGTACATCAGTGAGGGAAACTCTGCCAACGGGTCCTGGGCACGCCCAAGGAGAAAACCCCACTCCGCCTGGACGGAGCTTCAGGAAAATAGCAAACCAAACACACTAACCAGCAAAACGGAAGAAAGCATCCTGATAATCCCCAGACTTCTTATTGTTGATGAGTGTGTGACTCAATTACTGATACTAAAATACGGGTTTTCAAAACATTTGCAAATGAAAGCAAAATCATAGGTAATGTTTTGAATATGCATTTTTCATCACGTTTGATTTAATGAAGTTGCTAGAAAACAGATTCCTTCTCTCAACTTTCCTGGGAGCCACTTTAAAATTCATCCTTTAATACAGTTATTAGGGGTGATGACATAGTGCTGACATAAAGTTCTCTCCGGGGAACAAATTATTTTCCTCTGTAGGACTTGAAACTCTTAAAATCCAATTTGCTGTAAAAGCTTACAGGAAAAAAAAATCAATAGAACTTTTGCAGACCAAACGAGTTTTTGTGTAGCAATGGTTTTATAGCCTTCAGAGGAGTTTTGAATTTTGTACCCTTTGGTTCTATAACACCTCAAATGGAATCCTTCAGACTCCTAAACTGTCTCCCTTTTTTCAGTGACAGGGAGGCCGCCTCCATGAGGCTTCCATTCCAGGCAAAGACCCGTCTGCCAGGTCCCTTGGAACCCACCCCCAATGTTTCTTGTCACAGAATAATTCCAAGGCAAATAGATGTCAAATGCATATGGATTTGTGGCAAAGTCACACCCATTAGGATGGCTACTGTAAAAAACAACAAAACCAAACCAGAAAACAACAAGTATTGTCGAGGACATGGAGAAATTGGAACCATTGTGCACTACTGCTGCTGGGACTGTAAAGTGCTGTAGCTGCTGTAGAAAACACTCTGGTGGTTCCTCAAACAATTACACATCGAAAGACCACACGACCCGGCAATCACACTTCTGGGTCTATACCCAACAAAGAGAAAGCAGGGACTTGAACAGATATCTGTACACACACGGTCACAGCAGCATTATTTGCAGCAACCAAAAGGTGGAAACAACCTAAGTGTCCATTGATGGATGAATGGATAAATAAAATGTGGTCTGTAAATACAATGTGATATTATTCAGCCTTAAAAAGGAAGAAAATTCTGACGTGTTTCAACATGGATGGACCTTGAGAATAGTATGCTCAGTGAGATAAGATAGTCACAAAGGACAAATACTGGATGATTCCACTGATATGAGGTACCTAGATTAGTGACATTCAGAGAGACAGAAAGCAGAACAGTGGCTTCCGGGGGCAGGAGGAATGGACAGTCAGTGTTTAATGGGCACAGAGGTTTCGTTTTCAAGATGGAAAGTTCTGGAGATGGATGGGGCTGATGGGCGCACAACAGTGTGAATGTGCTTAATGCCACTCAGCTGCACACCTAAAAATGATCAAAGAGGTAAATTTTACATTTACCACAATAAAATATAAAATAAGTATGTACTTGTAATTGGGCTTGAAACCAAAGCTTAGCCCCACTCCACCCTAAGCGGTCACATCAGCCCACATGCTGATGATGGAGAAGCCACCAAGTTGAGGATTCAGGGGCAGGATAAAGGTGTCCATAGAGGTGTCCTCAGTAACAGTCCCACTGTCTCAGTGACCCGACAGTGTTTTCCTGGGATGACCGCGTGTGCACACATGCACACACAAGTGCACACACATGTGTACACACATGCATACGCAACACATGCACACACGTACGCATGTGCATGCATTCGCATACATACATAAGAGCATGCACACACAACACATTTTACACACGTGTACACACATGCACACATACATGCACACATGCACACACATAACCATGCATATAGACATACATGCAATCACAAAAACACACATGCACACATGCATACACACACGTCATGTGTGCACCCCCCCCCCCAGGCCTTGCCTTCTTCCTTTGGGGTTAGCATGCGAGGGCCACATCTGTGGAACACAATGATACTGAAATGCCCGGATGCCCTTGGTTGGGCGATCAGGGGTCACGCTCCAAAGATCCACTGGGAAGAAAGTGCTTGGGGAGCAGGAAGCAAGGTGGCCTGGGGTACAACGCCCTCTGGGCACAGGGAGGCCCAGGCCTCCACTCCCTCAGTCAGACCTCGCCTCCCACATTCGAAAATGAAGCCGAAAGCAAAGAGTTGCACAAAGCCCAGGGCAGGTAGGCAGAGTTCCCAGAGAGCCGGGTCTGACGCCCCTCCACCTCCAGGCTCACGAAGGCTCCAAGAAGCGCAGATGTAAAGAACAAGCAACTTCCCACTGAACACAAGACACCTCCAGGGTCCCCCACCCTTTAAAGACCATCACCCTCTGAGGAAAGACTCTGGAGGCCACAGGGGTGCAATTGGGAAAGCAAACTAATCTGCTGTCTAGCAGCTGGAAAACACAAATGAGGACCTGCTCAACCCAGCACAGGCGGGAGAATGGGAGGGGCGGGGAGCACGGCGCTCTGCAGCCTCCCAGCTGCACCTCACACAGATCCATCCGCGGGTACCTTTCCTGGGCCAGGCTGAGCTGAGCTCCCTAAGACAAAGGTTCTGACCTCGCCTCTGATGCTCTGCGCTCTCAACACCACACAAAGGTTTTTCCAGCGGCCGGTGAGCTGACCAACGGGAGGAAATACATCAGGCAAATTTGCAACAGAGAACTTTCTGGGTGTTCCAATTCATGGCTGCAGCTCAGGAATGGAGTTAATCAGGGCAGTGGGGGGTTTATCTGGAGACAAACGTGGCTACGTGCGCTCTGGCTGATGTCCACATGCCTCGGGGCCGGCCGGCATGTATGTGGAGGCGGCCCAGGTGGACCTGGGACCTACACTCGCTCTTTTTCCCCTAGCCCTGCAAGGCTGCGGGCGGACGCTTACCTGCCATGCGATCAGGTCCTTGAGCTTCTCAATCTGCTCGTGGGCCTCTGGGTGCTCCTGCAGGTATCGCTCTGTGAAGAAGGCCTGGTGGAGAGAGGGAGGCCCACTCAGAACACCGCTCACCAACACGCACACCCACTGTGCACCGCGCCCCGGGGAGGGCCGTGGGTAAAACACACACACCTCTGCTGCCGCCACGGAGCTCACGCTCCCCGTTTCTGGCCCTCCCAGCACCCAGGGCAAAGCGTCCAGTAAGGTCAAACAAATAAGTGGAGTGAACGGGCAGCCAGGACAGGCATTCATTCAGTGGGCACCCCAGGCCTGGGAGCCCAGTGAAGCCACGGCTGACCTGGATGGCACAGGCTGCTGAGTGGCAGCTCCCAGTGGCTCACATGCCTATCACGCCCACCTGGCACCCTGCCCAGGTTGCCCTCACACCAAAAGGCAGCTGCCACAGAGCAGCATCTCCAGTCCAGGGCAGCCAACCAACCACCCTTCTTGCCTGTTCTCATCCAGTGCCCCTTCCTCCTGTTTTTACTTGGTCCAGACCAGAGGCCAGCACACTTGTTCACGAAGGAACTCAGCTCTTAGCCAGGGCCATTGTTGCATCAGGAAAACAGCCAGACTCTAAGTAATGAACGGCTGTGTCCACGATTCAAACCTGATTTATAAAAACAGGCGGCAGACTGTCGTGCAGACCCCTAGTCGGGACCATACTCGTGTGCTTTGACCTCTGACCTTTCCCATGGAGACACTGCTCAGGGAGATCAGCGGCCCTCTCCACTGGAGCAGCCCTGCTAAAACTGTCTTTGGCCTGTAATGATTCCAGGTCTCTTGAAAGCCACCTAAGGGTCACTCTCCAGAGCCAACCTGGGGGGGAAAGTGCCCAGGCCGGCCGTGTCTGGGGTGGGACTTGACCTGCAGCCTGTAGAGGCTGCCCTGGGTGCTCATGGCCTGGCCGTGGTGCAGTCACTGCTGAGATGGCTCGATGGGACCAGGGTCGCTTCTGGGCCCGGAGACGGTGTTTGGAGACAGTCTGTCCCAGGACAGTGCTGTAAGGAGAGAGCTGGCATGTCACCTGCCTTTTCGTAATTTGCAAAGCCGCCCATGACGGCAGGGTCCACGATGCCGTTGAGAAGCATGGAGAGCGGGTTGACGGGGAGGCTGGGGTCGTCCAGGTGCTGCTGCACCATGCTGTCCAGCTTGTCATTCGTCAGCTGCATGGTCTCGATGGCGTTCTCCAGGGGGCTGATCTCCACCTGGAGGAAGAGGACAATACGTCAGGCTGGCTGCTGTCCCCGCTGACTGCGTCTTGTGTACCATCGTCTTGCTTTAAGGAGAATGAAGAGTTTAGGGAATTTTAAGCGGTCTGTCTCTGTCCTGGAGGCAGGCCTGGGCACTCTGCGAGCCCTCTGTACCTGTTTGGCCAGGAGTGGGGGACAGGGGCCCCGTATCCTCCTATGAAGGCAGAGCTTGCACCTCCTAGGACAGGGTGGGAGCATGTCACCACCTCCAATCGGTCCGCATGGCCTCCTCGCCAACCCTGTCACTAGTCATTGGGACCAACCACGTGTCCTCCTCGGCTTCCCTTCCACATCTGCCCCATTTGCCTCTAGAAAGAATAGTTCCGTTTTTATCAAACCACCATTAGCCACTGCATCCACAGACAGCCCAAGGTGGGCTTCCAGGGGACAGACACGGGGCATGGGCGTGAGGGGTGCTGACGAGGCCTTCCGCTGCGCCATTCGGGGACTACGCCCGCAGCCCTCTCCATCTGTTACAAACCAAATGCAGCCTGTGGCGGAAGCACTTCCTTCCAGAAAGGCAGGCTCAGCCCGCTCCAGCTCCCAGCTGTTAAGCTCCTTGCTTGGGCGTCCTGGCCGGCTCACAGAATCCCCGATTATAAAGGGCTTATGGGAAGAGGCTCGTTAGGAGGATGAGAGCCTGTTTATGTGAAGGACCTCCTCTTCTGTCCTGTCTCACACCCCAACATCGCCAGCTCTGATGGTGCCAGTGCGGCTGGCACTTCTGCCACCTGCCACCCATCTCCTGAGCTTCCCACAGGTGAGGGCCTGCCTGCCCGGGTGCTGTGGGGGCAGAGCGAGCAGGAGCTCCCAGAGAAGAAAACGAAAGTGCCCAAGGGGGCACAGGCAGAGCCCTAGGACTTCAGAGCAGGAGGAGGGTCCCCTCGGATGGGCGGGGCATCAGGGCACCCCGGAGCAGCCCAGAGCTCACATTGGCATGGACGAAAGACTGGAAGGGAAACAGAACTGGGAGGAGAGGTTCCAGCCCTGTTCTCAGGCCAAATCAGCAGTGGTCTAGGGGGGCTTATTGGGAGCTAACTGGCAGACACCACCCTGTGGGCAAGACCCTGTTGGGTGACGACAAAAGGCACGGACACACACACAACAAAGCGTCTTTTTATTCTGCCCATTGCCACACACTGAGGCTGCTGTATATTCAGTGAAAACCTGCTGCCCAGCTCTGGTTCACGGACAGGAAGCTGCCCGAGGGCTCATTGAGGAGGCAAAACACAGTTTAGCTAATGAGAGGCGAGTCGTTATTTCTTTATCAAGTGCCCGGGAGGGGTCTCTTCTCAAGCTATTTTTACTTGAAATGAGCCAGTACTATTAATCAAGTTGTTTGTCATGTAAATGGCAATAAAACCATCAGAAAGAAAGCTCTTAAAAACTGTATGTAAACTGGAACTTGTCTTAAACTTTTCATTTAGTTAACAGAAGGAACTGTCAGAACAGCCCAGCGATAACTGGCTTTAAATATTTTACGAGAAGAAATGAAACCTTAATTCTGGTTTTCTTATAAGCTAGAGTGGCTGTGATTACACAGCATTTCCACGACGATTTTCGAGGAGAGCTGATACTCGGAGAACATGTGGGGTGACAACGGGCTGAGACCTGTCTGATCTGGGGTCTGCAGTGTGCGCGTGGCCACAGGGATGGTGACGCCCATGGGTGAAAGGGCGTGTGAGACGCACAGGGGAGGATCAGAGACCATCCCTTCCGGCGTGGCCTTACCATGAACACGGACTTCACCTCGAACCACCTTAGGATTCCCGGCAGCTTATACGCAGTGGTGTATATGGCTCTCTCGATCCACATGTTCTGCAAAAGGGAGCAACACAGCACGCGTTAGGTGGGCTGCCCATCACTTCTGCCCTAAGCGGGACTTCTACAAGCCCTCCACCGTCACGGGACTCCTCCTGGGACAAGTGACACGTGGCCCTTCTGTGTTCTGGCCAGGGCAGGCCCAGGCTGAGGTCACCCCTCACAGCCATGCTCTGCTTCCCAGTCAGTCACACAGTCACATCAGTGTCCCCTGCCTTCCTGGCCAACAGTACCTAACTCTCTGCTACTCGGCAAAGAATACCTAACAGGAGAGTTGGGGAGAATTATCTATGACCAGACCGGGAGGTTTCCTCTGAGCCAATAGCTTTGGAAACGTTCCACTGAGTTTTGCATCACCCTTACTTAGTGTTCAAGGGAACTAACCCTTTGTGCAAACGCATTGAGGGAATGTTAATAAAAGCGACCTCTCGCACAGGGATAAAAATCAGTGTTTGAAGCTTAGAATTTTTTTTGTATAACTAATATATGTTGACATTAGAAAAAAAAAGATGTGGAAATAGAAGGGACACAAATCACCTACTACTCAAAGATGGTCACTTAATTTAGTATCTATTATCTAACACTTCTCAGTGAGCATTTATTTATTTATTTGTTATTTTTCTTAGCTGAGACATCCTGCCACCTGTCAGCAGCTCAGCAGCAGCTCAGCTTGGGCCAGGAATGGAGCCAGTGACCCTGTTGCTCAGAGCTCGCACTCGTAAGCGAGCTCTTAACAACTGAGACACTCAGCTGGCTCCTATCAGTGAGCATTTAAAAGCATGTACATGTCTATTTTCAATAAAAGTACCACCTTATAAACTAATTTTTTTTTGGAAAATGGTACATTATATATTGCAGGAAATTGTTTCAAGCCGATAAATATAATCCAACATCTCTTTACAGGCTGCACAGGACTCCACTGCAGTAAATCTTTTCTCCCACCTCCTGCGTTATCAGCCTCCCTGTCACAGGTGCTCAGGGAGCAGACTGAGTCTGTCAAGTAGAGATCCTGACAGGAGCGGCTGGCATGATGGAATGTTACCAACGCCAGAAAGCACTAATCCCAAACCTCTTCGATTCCGGGGGGGCGGGGGAGGTCCTGGCTGAGCCCCGGGACACAGGCCATGCCTCCTGTCCCCCAGCCAATGCTCCTGTGTCTCCCCGTGGCAGCTCCGTCTGGCACTTGCCCTAGGAGACAGCAGTCTGCAGTTTCAGAGCAAGCCCAGACCACACCTGCAGCCAGCGCCGTCCCCCACGCCAGCACGCCCTGGGGCTTGGGGCCAGCCTGGCTAGCCCTGAGCTCCTGTCCCGGCAGGATGGCTTTCTCAGCACCGGCCTTTGGGGCCAGGCTGCCTGCCGCAGGGCCCCAGCCAGGCTCCCTTTGCTGCAAGAACCCCCATGCTTATCTGGAAGCCTGAGGCTTTGCCAGGCGTGAGAAAGACTAAATCCTGTGGCTGTGTGCGGGGGCCTGGTGGGGCCATTAGAGGATTTCAGAAAAATCACGGCCTCGAGGGCTTACACAGCTGCAAAGGCCAGGGGCCTGGGCTCTTCTCAGCTCTGCCTGACTGGCTGTGCACCCCTCGGCCGTGTGCTTGACCTCCTTGTGTCTCTCTCTTTGCAGCCATGAACGCACAGAGCTGCCAAAGGGAGAGGTGTGCGGGAAACTCAAGAACTACAAATCCGCAGTTGAGAGACACACACAAATAATGGCGGGAATGCTGTCATGACCACGACAGACAGGTACGGCTGAGGAAGCCCCGCCCCAGCGCTGCTGTCCAGGTTAGGCCGGCTTCTCTCACTACTACAGACAACGCCACAAGGACCAGTCACAAAATAGGTCCAGGATGCCCCCGGAACGAAGACATAGGGTCTTAGTTTTGAAATAGCCAGTGCTGGAGCTTGGGACAACTTCAGAATCCACCGACCCTGAGCTCCTAGCTGACACATAGGCACCCGGGCTCAGGCAGGAAGGGCGTCGGGAGCTGAGCCTGAGACTCCCAGGCAGTCTGCCCTGAGAAAGTTAGGAGAGTTAGGGCTTCCAAGGGAGGGTGCGTGGGGGCGACTCAGCAGAAGTGCACCCCGCTTCACTGTGGGTCAGCTGCCAGGTGACAGTTCACCTTTGACCTCCAGCCTGCAAGGTCAGAGGGAGCCTTTCCCAGCAGTGCTGGTGTCTTCAGGGGTCCCTGGGGTTAACGCCTCCTTGAAATATGGGAGGAGGGATTTCCAGGAGGGGGTTTTCAGGGCAAGAGGAGGGAGAAATAACAACATTAAAACAATAACTGTGCTTTGGTTCATGTTTTTGCAAAATGGAATCCATTAAAGCAGATGTATGCATCTTTTCTGAAAGGCTACAAGAATCTGTGCCAACATTGCCAGGACTCTGCGCGGTTTTCAACAGGTGACAGATACTTGGCAATGTGTATGATAACGTTTTTGGTTTTTAATTTTTTAATTTAGCTTCTGATTTGACTGATTGGGGAGGTGCTGCTGGCATCTCATGGGTCAAGGTCAGGGATGTTGATCCCACGATACACAGGACAGTCCCCAGCACACGAGTGACCCGGCCCACGACTCAGCAGGGCCGGTGGAGACCCCGCCCCCACGCGTGCTGCCCTGTGAAGCGCAGGCGCAGCTCATTTCCTGGCTGCCTGTCGCCCGCCGAAGGCCACGTGGCGCGCTCGGCACCTCTGTCACGGAGGTGCCCGTGAGCTCCGCAGGGCCCGAGGGGGACTGACTCAGGTCCACCCCGCACGCGGAGAAGCAAGGGTGCTGCAGCGTGGAGGCGCGTTCACAGCGCCAGTCGCCGTATTATCATATCACAGGGACCTCCGCAACGTTTGTGACCTGGCCGTCGTTGCACCACATTTGAAGGGGTTTCTGTGCACAACGCGCAGAGCCACTTAGTGCTGCTCTGTGGTCGCCTCTGAGGCTCGCTCTTCCACAGGCAGTCTTGCTGGTGGTTGAATGTGCTTTCGGGGGTGTGTGTGTGTGTATGTGTTTTTACCGCAAATTCATTGTCTGGGTTTTTCTCTCCTTTGCGGATAGGCCGAGAATATTCGAATCGCTGGACCTCATTTACCCTGTAAAAACTGAGAAGAGACAGAGAAATCATTAGACATTTAACCCCAAAAACAGTCGGTTTGCTTTCAGATGCGAGGTCTAGCCTCCCAATAGGTCATTGCATTCCTTAAAATATCCCCAACCTTGACCCGCAGCGATAGATGTGTCTTCCTCTCCCCATCAGCCTGGGAAGAGATGCTGGCAGGTGGAAAAATTGCCTTGAGTTTTTGCTCCTCTCTGCCCCTGAAAACCCTCAAGGGGGAAGCAATGCTGAGTAGGAGTGAAACGGGCAAAAACAGAGACGAGATGAAGTGAAGGCGAGGAAAAAGGCCTCCATTCTCCATCTGCGTGTTTCTTATTTTAAAAATTTAAAAATTTAATAATTCAACAATGAATTTATTAAAATAATTTAATAATTTATTATTTTCTTAAATACAAAAATTATGTCTTTATTATTTTTAAAGAGGTCTTATATACTTTAGTTTCAGATCTACGAAAGGCAGACTCACAACCATCAACAGTGGCGTGGAAGGACAGTGTGCCTTCTTTGCTTGGGGCAGGGGTGGGGGTGACGCTACACCAGAGGCAGCCTGGGGAGCCTTACTCATCCCCCTGCACTGAAATGCGGCCGGGTTCCCCACATTAAGGGGGGGATATCTGAGCGTCCGCGATGGCTCACTACTTGATTCGTGCCTCTCTCTGAGGAAAAAAATGTTGCAAAACTTAAAATGTAAGCCTTGTGGAAGCAATCATTCATCAATAAACAGAGTCCTGGTTTATTTTCCATTATTTCTGACAAAAGGTTAAAAAAATGATAGTGACTTTTCTGGAAAGCCACAACCCACCAAACTCCATGATACAAAGTAAGCAGATCCTAAGCATTGTTAGACCATCAAAGAGGTTATTTGTTTATTTATTTTTGACCAGAACATGGGTCAAATAGAAAAGAAAATTCTTAACATCAAAGGAACCCCTAAAGCAGGGTTTTCTACACCATTGTCAAGTTGGAACAATTCAATGGAGAGGCATAAAATCTCACTCAAATTCAGGCGGCTGACCTGTGAGTTTTAAAATCCACCTGTAATCCCACAGTACAGAATCACTGTGTTTAGGGGTGACAGGGTCTTCTCACCCCCGCCCAATTCTCCACCAAGAGCACATGTCCGAACCCCCTTTCCTGCCCTACAGAATGCAAACGCTGGGCCACACCCCAGGCACCCAGACTCAGATCTGCTGGAAGTGGGGCTCGGCCTGTGCGCCACTGAAAACCACAGGCATGCTCCCACCAGGGGGTCAGAAGCCACCAGGGTGCCTCCTCCTCCCTCCTGAGTTCCCCTGTCTCCTGACCTCGGGGAAGGACTAACCCTTGCACCCTCCCAGCCACGCGTATGAACTTCCTTTATAGTTGACTCTTGAACAACACGGGTTTGAACCTGTTATACATGGATTTTTTTCAAAAAATACCTGCCCTGTTTTCCAGCCCTGGTTGGGAGCCCGCAGATGGGGAGGGCCAACTGTGTGCATTGATCTGCGCCATTTTATATAAGGGACTTCTGCATCCATGGACTTGGGTATCCAATGAGGTCCTGGAACCAATCCCTCTAGATACTGAGGGCCAATTAAGTTTTGGGGGAGTCCAAAGTTATACTCAGATTGTCGAATGCATGGGGGGTTGGTGCCCCTAACTCCTGCGTTGTTCAAGGGTCAACTGTACTTCCTTCATGCCATGTCCTTCACTTTGATGCTGAAAATAACTGGTTTCCCTTTTTATTCTAAGTAAACAGAAAGAGCATCTGAAAAACTAATCAAGGACTGAAACCTGTCATTTCAAAGGTAAAATTTTTAACAAGGGATCTGTACGCAGCCTCTCCCCACCCTCATGCTGGACAAGAAAAATGGGTTGATTACCTTACAATCTGCTCTGACACCGGCCTGTGAAATTTCGGGGGCAGATCGAGTTTGGGCTTCACTGTGAAGCACTGAATATCTGAAGGTGAATGGGGTCAAGGGTCATAAGGCAGCGTGAACATCGATCGTGAGAAAGCCCCCTTCTTCCCTGACACCCAACTCTCCAAAGGAATGGCAGTGCTGTGCTCTTAAAGGATACACTGGCCTGGGGAGTTCTTAATATCCTCGCCTGGTGGAGATGTCGTCTTCATTTTCTCAGCGTTTGGAAACTGGGTTAACAGCCGAGCCTCAAAGTCTTCCCGGCGCTCATACTCTTTGCCCCGGTAAATGAAAACTTTCCCCTGGAAATAATCACAGCCATTGAGTGACACCAAAGGGCAGGGCCAGGGAAAGTTCACACACAAATGCACTGGTCTTCAGTTAAGAAGCAGGTCACTGGCTGGAGCAGCAACCTGTCACCGCACCAAGGACACAGGAACACAAGCCACGTAAGTTACATGTGGAGGAAGCCGTGACCACACAACACAGCAGTTATACTGAACTCTGGTGATGTACGCGGTCTTAACAGGAAGAGCCCATTTACAAAACTATGAAAAACCAAGTGCATGAAATGGGAGACACGGTGAAGGCACCAGGGCAAACGGATGGGTAACAGGGCATGTGGGTGTGTGCATGTGTGTGTGTGCGTGTGTGTGTGTGTGCATGTGTGTGTGTGTGCATGTGTGTGTGTGTGTGTGTG